GCCGAGCATCAGGCCGCCTCTGTCCATCAGAGACACGCCTGCTTTCGTGCACTGCTCACAAGGGGCCTGGCCGGACGGGAGCCCAGGGGGCCTGGCGCCTGCGGCCACACAGCCAGCACCTTCCTGAGTGTCCTGTGAGAGGTCATCCCGCCAGCCTCCACTTCAGGTGACAGTCAGGGCAACAGGCAGGAGGTCAAGTAACCGCAGGAGGTCACACAGCAGCCAGGAGGCGGGGAGGCACCCCCGCCCCGAGCCCTGCTGCTCCCAGCCCTGACCACACCTGGGGACGGGGTGGAAGGACAGAGCCACGAGGGGCTCTCAGGGGCACATCCTGGACCGCAGGGCGAAGTGAGGTGCCCCCCCGCCGCCCCTGGGCAGCTCTGAGGGCTCCCTGCTCACAGGGTATCCGATGGTGAGTGCCCCGCCCAGGAGGTGCCCGCAGGCCTGCAGGCACGGCCGCCAGCTCATACCCAGGAAGATGAGCAGCACGCCCACGCTGATCTGCAGCACCAGGGAGATGGTGATGAGAGCCACCAGGGGCACGTAGAAGCCGAAGCCGGGGCCCTGGTCGATGACGGCCTTCAGCTGCGAGGCGTTGGCCATCAGCAGGGCGATGTCCAGCATGCTCTCCGCGGCGCTCTTCTTGTTGGCGTAGTGGTTCACATTGATGAGCCTGTTCCTGCCCCAGCGCGAGGGCTGTGGGGAGGGGCAGTCAGTGGGCTGGCCACCGGGCAGCAGGGGCTGCAGGCCCACCCGGGGCTCCTCCCGGGACTGGCAGGGAAGTGGGGGCTCAGGTGAGGCTTGAGAGGGAAGCGCTTAACAGAACAAGAGGCCCAAGAGGGTGAGTAGCCCCTGAAGACCCTCCCTAGGAATCGAGCCCTGGAAGAGAAAGGAGACACACAACCTCAGCACACACTCAGGCTGGAAGCTGCCACCGGTGGCTGCCTGCACGTGGTCTCCCTTCCTGGGCCACTGCCCACGGCCCCTGCCTCCTCTCCCCAGGTCCAGGGGTGGGGGTGCCGGGGCAGAGGTGGCTTTTGGGGTGGGAGGCAGATCCCTTCACTTGTCCAGCCCCGCCGGGAACTGCCTGCCTGGACCCCGCCCCCTCAGAGCACCCCTGCTGAGCAGGGCGCACAGCGGACTCCAGAGCCGCCTGGGCATTCTATGCTGCAGTTGAGCTTAGATCTTCCTTAAGTTTCATTTAAAAAGTTTCAGCCACGTAACTGCGATATGGTTGACAGGCCATAAGCTGCGCACGTTTAATGCAGACGTTGCAGGGCCGGAGGCAAGTCCCCGCCCAGGCCTCCACACGCCGCCCCTGCCCCTGCCCCCGTGCACAGGGTTTGTGAGGACACGGCCGAGGCCACCCGCAGGGCGGCACTGTGACCCGCCCCTCGCCTTCCTGCCGGCCACCCCACAGGGGACTCCAGACCCCCTCGCCTCTGCTGAGAACAGCCCGCTCCAAGCCGGGCCCTGCCGCTCCCGGCGTCTCCGCCTGCAGGTGACCTCAGACTGCCCCTGACGGGCCCTCCCGCCCTGGCCCTTTGTCCTCAGGGGCCGCTGTGCTGCCAAGCTGGAACCGTGCCTCCTGGGGCCACAGGAGATCCTGTTTCTAGACTCAGGAAAGCTGGGAATGGGAGGCGGGTGCGGGAGGGCCACACGGTGCCCAGCCCACCTCCACGCTCGCACCTGCAGGAGGGAGGGCCTCGCTTTGTTAAGTTGAAGGTTAGTCTGGAACAACAGGCCCAGAGGAAAGACGGACAGGCGACAGAACAGAGCTGGCTCTGCTGCCTGCCCCACTTTCCCTCACGTGAGTGGCTCTGACATAGTGAATCCACTCGGTTTAAAATTCCAGACCCAAAGGCACAGGGAAGGCGGCCTCCGCAGCCCGTGTGGGTCCCCCACTGCCTCCCGGCCAGGTCGCCAGCTGCGCTCACAGCGGGGGCCGTGCCTCCCGCCCACGCCTTGGGCTGCTCCCTCGCCAGGGTCTGGAGCCGGCGGCCACTGCCACGGGCCTGTGCCCACAGCATGCGGCCACCCCTCGCCCCACACCCAGTGCATGCGTGCCCCTGAGTTTCATAAACCAAGAAGGCCAGAGTGCTCTCCCTCGAAGCCACCCCAACGCTCATCCCAGGCTCCACGCCCCGAGAAAAAGCTGGTGCAGACTTACAAAGGGCTCCACCTTCTGTGGCCACATACGTACACACGAGCTATGCACACGCATCCACACATACACACACACATACACACACAAACACACATCCACACACACATCCACACACACACATCCACACATGCACACACATAAACACACATGCACACACACATAAACACACACATGCACACACACATAAAACAAAGCCTGTGCATAAATATAACATGCACACATGTGGACACACAGATATTAACATACATATATTAACATGCACACATATACATGCACAATACAGGCATATGTACACATGCATAAGCGCACACACACATATGTACACGCCCATATGAACCGCTGCCTGCCTCCCCAGCTGCCAGGAGCCACCCTGGGAACCTCCTACCAGGACCTGGGCAGTGCAGGGGACAAACACCCTGTTAATGTGCTCCTGGGCCAACAGGACTTCCCAAAACCTCACCTGTGGCCAGGAGCTGGGTGGCTCAGGGCTGTCGGACTGTTTCCCCTAAAAGCCAGGAAGGGCCTGTGGGCAGGGAGCTGACTCCGTACAGGGCTGCCACCCTCTGTGGACAGGGTCTCGTGGCCTCTCTCTGAAGGCAGCTTACGGTTACCCAGGCCGCTGGCCCAGAACACACTGCTGTGCATCCTCCGTCCGGCAGGAGGGGGATTGGGACTTGATTCGAACCCAGGATTTGAACCCAGGTCTGAGGCACCCTGGGTGTCCAGTTCTGGTCACAGTATAAGGGCTACTCCAGCCCACTCAGGCTTGAATGGGAGGAGATGGAGGGGGCTTCCCGAGCCTCCAGCCCCCACCCCTGCTCTCCTGGGAGACCAAGCAAGATGGGCTGAGGCCCACTGAGGCCCTGCAGAACCTGCGGGATTGGTTACTGACCCCCTCCCATTGGGCCTGACTCCGCTCTGCCATGGACCCCAATCCTGAGCACAGTGCGGAGCAAGGAGCCGCATGGGAGTCCTGCCTGTCTGCCCGGAGCCCATTTTCACATCTGCTGGGTGACAGACCGAGGGCCCCAACAAACCTATGAGGTTTATCACCTGGCCCTCCCCTCTGGCATCCCTGCCTGGGCCCGGTTCTCTCCCGTCTGTAACCTGGGCTGGCGGGATGGGGCGAGGGGTCCCAGTGCTGGCTGACGGCGGAGGAGGGCTGTCCAGGAGCGGAGGCCTGACTGGCCTACGGAGGAGTCAGACATGTAACCTGTGGGCAGACAAACCCCTCTGGGCCAGGGCAGTGGGGAGATCCGTGTGCTTGAGCACGTAGGCCCATCTGCCCAGCTCTCCCCGGCCTTCCCGGAAATGTTTTCTGTAAGTCGGCTCCTTTTTGCTAATGGCGGGAGGAATGGTGAGTGTCAGTGTTATTGTGAAAGTGGCCTGCAGCTATGTCTTGCCTGGGGGCTTGGGTTGGGGCAGCCGGATTGGGTTGGGATTGGGTTGGGACACGGCTTGGGTTGGGACACGGCTGCAGCAGATTCTGGGACTGTGGCCAGCTGAGGACAGCACGAGGGTGGGACAGGATGGGCAAGGCTCCGGGCCACCTCGGCCACGCGCAGCCTGAGGTGCTGGGGGACCTTTGCTCCTCTCCTTTCTGCTTCCCTGGCAGATTCCAAGGCTGTCAGGGTCTTAGCCAAGTTCTAAAAGGTGACGTGGATGTGGCCGCAGGGTCACTGAAGGCCAGTGCTGAGCCACAGGAAGTGGGTGTGCCCAGCCTACAGCCCAGCTGCCACCGGAAACACCCTCTCCGTCCCCCACCAAACTTCCTGCCTGGAGCGGGTGGAGACCTCTTGCTGGCCAAGGGGGACGGTGTAGGCCTGGCCACCTGCGGGGCGGACCATACCACGCCATTTCACAGACGAGAAAACTGAGGCTGGATCGATTCTGCACCTGCCCACGGCTGTACGGTACAGTCCGGCTTCCCAGTTTGTTCTCCTGTGGCTAGGGGCACGCTGGGGACACAGTCCACCCACCCCTGAGGATGCCCTGGTTTATCCCTCCTCCCAGCAAACCTTTCTTCCTGCCCTCAGGCAGGTGCCTGAGGCTCAGATTCTGGCAGGGACGTGAAGGGAAAGCCTAAGACGAGCCAGGAGAGTGTAGGGGAGAATCATGCATGTCCGGCGTTCGCCCAGGGAACACGCTGCCTGCGTTCCCACCAGGAGAGGGGCGTGTGTGGCAGGCGGGGATGCGGCACTTCACACATTAACTCCTTTAGTCCTCACAATGACCTCGAGGAACGCACTGCGACCACCCCACTTCACAGATGAGAAACTGAGGCACAGAGTGATGTGCCTTGAACACAACAAGGCAGGTCCTGAGGATGGGAAGGGAGGGAAGAGGCTGGGGTGCAGTGTTGGGTGGAAGTGGGCAAGCTGAGTGGCCCTGTGGCTGCCACCCCTCCAGGAGCTCCCCACTCGTGACCAAAGGAGCCAGACCAGTGTGTTGGCTCACGCAGGTTCCCAGCAAGGCCTGACCTCTCATCACACCTCCTCCCCAGCGCCCATGTGCTTGGTGGCCCAGCCTGAGGGCCTTGCTCTCCCTATTCCCTCTGCCTCGGGTGCCCTATTCCACATCGCGGGGGTAGGGGGCACACCTGCACCTCTCCAGTCCTCCAGGGCCCACTGCCACCACACCAGCCCCTGGGGCTTTTGTCTGCTCTGCTTACAGGATGCAGAGCCATCCCGTCCAGAGCCAATGCAGTGCCCTGCCCCCTCCAGAGCCAATGCAGTGCCCCCTCCCTCTCCAGAGCCAATGCAGTGCCCCCTCCCTCTTCAGAGCCAATGCAGTGCCCCCTCCCTCTCCAGAGCC